AATTCATAAAAGAAAAAAAAATGTGGCATAAAAAACCCCCACAGTGATCAAGACTTGACCTTGGGGGATTTCTATATTGGATTAAAAGGTCTGGAGCCAAATAGAACACCAAATTTAAGTCTTCTGCTCTTATAAACCAGGACAAATATGTGCCTTTGTCATTTCATCGTATAAATCAAGCTAGTACTTTTAAAAATCAGAAACTATCTCAGAATAAACTTTTCAACAAGGATTTCTCAAGGCCCATGGTCTACTGGGCATTATGCTAGGGGCTTAGGGAAGGCAATCAGATACTCATGGCCTCAAAGGGCCTACAGTCTAGTGGTGGAAAGTGAAGACTAACACAGTTAAAATCAGAGGAAAATGAGCCCACAGCATCAGCTGTTGTGCTGTGCTGGAGGGAACAGTCAGCACCATTTCTCAGAGGAATGAGAGAGATTAGAAGCTGGGTGAGGGTAGAATTCCTTCTGATAGAAGAGCATAATTCTCCAGAGCAAAGGCAGTGATGCCTAACACCTGAGACTGAATCCCTGCTCAGCCAGTCGTCAGCCGTGTGGACGCAAGGAAAGTTGACCCTCCTTTCTGAGTCTTGGTTTCCTCCTCTGTCACATGGTGGTACGAACCGCCCCTTAAGAGGCTCTCTGTGAAGACTGGATGGGTTCATGTTCCACTTTCAATAAACAACAGTTATTTTTATCATTAACCAAACCACCAACACCACCTTCATTCTCAGGCTTTGGAGGATGAGGAGGCATTGTAAATGAGCACGGTTTGAAGTCAGCATTCCAAATAAAGAAAAGGTGAAAGGAGAGAAGGTCTGGAGTTGGGAAAGAGCCAACATTTTGCTTCTAGGCTAGGGAGGACTAGCTAGACCAGAATTAAGAGCAGTTCTTCAGATGTGTAGGGAGAGGAGACTGGATAAAGATGGTAGGACCGGATGATAGGGAGAATCTTTTGTAACCCCATAGAACCCTGTACCTTAATTCTGGGAGGATACTCTGCCTTGGAAAGTGCTAGAGAGCAATGTTGTTTTGTTGACTATGGGGGCAACAGGAAGCTCAAAAATTATTTGCCAATTGATGGAGTTGCAACATAGGAAGTAAAGATGAATCTTCCTTCTGAATTTGTAGTCCATTCAGCATCTTTATTATAAAGGCTCTGAAGCATAAGTAAAAACCCATAACAATTATGCTTTAACTGTCAGTTGGGTTTCCTCAGTGTTTCTGTAGACTCGCAATAGTTTGTCCCCTTTTTTCTTTGCTGAACCCCACTCACATTATCATAAACTAATGGTCATAACAGGACAGGGGAAACCGGTTTTTAACTGTGAGAGAAAATAGATCAGTGAAAGTTGTTGTTTTTAAGGAATAAACATTTTTTGTTTCTTTAAGAGAGGAGATCCAAGGCCATGAAAAGAAAAATAGTCTGAATAAGGATGTAGATTGGAAAACAAGCATTAGCTCTATAAGGAGACTCTGGGGCTTTTCAATATTTAGGATAGTAGTATTTGTCTTCTTTATTCCCTACTGGGATTTTTTTTTTAATCCAAGGATAGGATTAATTATCTTAGAAGAATCTAATCTCTACCTTCATCTTTTAAACTGCAAGCTGGGAGATGTTTTAAACATTATGAAAAGAAGAGAAAATCTCTCCTGACAAATAAATGCCTTGAAAAATTAGATATTAGTACTAGTCAAGTGCTCTTTCTTTTCAGAAATATTAAAATTGCACATTAGAATGGAAGGATCCTTATACTATACTCCCTCCTAATGCCACAAAAAATAAGACTTTAGGAACAGTTTCAGAGACAAAAGATTATATGAAACATCCAGTTCTTCCCCTTATGGGAAATTTCTTTCTTTCTTTCTTTCTTTTTTTTCTTTAACATCTCAGGCTCAATCATTTCCTAATGCGAAATTACAGATTTTTCAAATTACCATATAAAACTGCGAAAAAATTACACTTGTGACCACAGAAGAGATAGCATACACTATCAATTTGATTTTAAAAGGCATACATCTTTTATACTACCTGTCATTTTTATAATGCCTTTTACAAATTTAATCAATACATTTTAACATTCTATATACTTTAAGTGCAATATACAATAAATATTCAAGTTTCATCTTAAACATGCTTTAGCCTTTAAATTGTTAAAACTGCAGTGCCCTTTCAATCTACTTACATAATGTCATAAAATATACATTTCAAGGTAAATGAAGTCAGCTACTTCAATTTAGTCCCTCAAACTGGTAGTAAATGAGAGGTTAACACTATGGTGCCAAACCCATTATTGAGTAAATTTAGCACCTTGGACAGCTCTGTAAAATCTTTATTGCTTTCCTGACCTGCTCGTCATGTTCTGTCTGTGTGTTCAGTGGCTCTCAGCTCTGATTGAAAGGCAATATATTAGATCCCCAACACAAACACGCTTGGGGGCTAGTTCACTGGGAGCGTAATGACATGGAGGTGAGAGCAATTTTCTGGTCACCAAAATCCAAGCACCTTGCAGGTCCGTTGCACTAACTCATAGAGGACCCAGAAATTTCCTTTCTTCTTCCCCTTTGCAGAAATAACTAATAGAAGCTGAATCACACTGGCAAAGCTGAACCAAATGTGGGCTATTCCTTAAATCCTTATGTCGATTCTTCAGCGAAGGACATTTTAGAATGGGCAAAGTATCATTTAAGGAAATCACTTTCAGGACAAAAATCCAGATTCACTCTCTGTAAGACCTCTGGTCTGAAGTGATGTTGGGTTAATGACTCTCCTATGGCCATGTGCCCAGTGGGAAAGTGTGACCCAGCTTCTTGGGTAGAAGAAGGATGTAACTTTATGAAGCAGAACTCACATGTTTCATTTTCAAAGGATTAAAGTGTGATTAGAGCTCTCAGTATTGCATAAGGTGAAAAAGAAGTGGTTGGATTGTGTCATTGGAAAACTTTGTCATTAAAAATATATGAGAGTAAAATGTATAGCATACACAAACAGTTGGAATTTTTTCAGGTTTATGAAAACTTCAAAGTTCTTGGAGTTTATTTTGAATTTCCCTCCTCCCTGGTTCTGTTTAATTAATTAAAATAAGCACTGTGCAGAGTCCTCATGATAGTATTCCAAGATTGAAATTCACAAGTGCAGTTTCCAGCCGCACCTCATCTTGCTTCTGACAAACAGGAGACTTGGTTTTTTTGTTTGTTTGTTTTTTTCCTAAAATGAAAAGAAAGAAAAATACCTTCGCTGCCCAACCCAAACACTGGTATAAATATTTATTTGGAGAAATAAATGAATGTAGACACAGAGAAGTCAAATCTTAGTAAATAAACTAACTTGATCCTGTTTTGTTTTAATCTTTCCTAAGAGCCAGAAAAAGCCATGAGGTTTTAGTGAAAGCAGCACAGGCCGAATTTGATATGGGGATAGGGTTTAGTGTGGCCATACCATAGTAAATTATTAACTGCTGTGGTCAGACAATACTGTGAACAAAAAGTGGTACATTATCTTGTAGCTTGCATTAAAAAAATAAAGAAATTATTTCAGATGTATTGATTCAAACTCCACTGATTATATAATGCTTTTGACTCCTTACATGAAAAATAACTGAACTGTTTTATAAATGGGGTCTACCAACTTAAGGCAAGCATAAATGTTTATTGAGAAGAGAAAACCCCTCTATCTCATTTTTGAATTTAGGACATTATATATGTCATAAGTAGATACTGCAGTATGACAACTATTTTATCTTATATTATAGAAAATTTAAAATTGAAAAATGCTAATATGTATCTAAAAGCTTGTCATTTCAAGAGTTGTTCAAGGATTTTTGAAGAGGCTATGGTGACAGCAAAATGAATGTAATTATATCCCTATTTTATGATCAGCGTCTACAGTATATGAAAATTGAACTCCGTTGCTTCTCCATGCAGAAATCTATTGTGTAAAATATTTAAGTTTAAACTTCTTTTTGACACTTTACTCATGGCCCCCCCAAAAAAATCATAAACATAACTTCTTACAAACCCCCTCTGGTCATCAGACTGAACCTTTAGGTTTGCTTCTCTGATAAGCCTCCATTTCACAAGCTTAACTTTCCTCTTCATCTTCCAGTAGAAATTAATCTGCAGGAAGGGCAGAATGAAGAGGGAGCGACTTCTTTGGGTGGAAGACAAATATTACCACCATACACACTTTTGTAGAGTGGGCTGTTTATTAGAAATAAGCATGCAGGCTAAATACGGAAGCCTACCTCAATGAAAAGAAGGAGTTTTTCTTCAACTGGAATGAAAAGCAGAGCGTATATCTAGGATAAGAGTGAATGAACAAATGGGGAAAATGACAAACAATCCTGAAATAGCAAAGGATTGTTATAAAAGAAACAGACTCTGCCAGTCATGAAAATTGGTGCAGAGGGAGCTTCCGGGGGCAGGAGACTCCTTCTGTAAGCGCCTCTGACAAACGGCGCATTGCCTCAGAAATGTGGGTTTACTCCATCACTCCCTTATATCCTGGCTCTGCCACACAAGGGAGATAAACAAAAGAAGTTTAATCCTACATGCTTCTAGTAGCCAAAGATTGATTGGAAATCCCTCGAAAATGACCCGTCTGATAAGGTCATGGTTCCTGGAATAAGCAATTAAGTACTAAATAAACACATCTTAGGGATTCATAACATGCACTGAATGACATCGATTGTAGTAATCTAGTAAATGACCTCGCAATTGTATTCAGCAATAAACATATGAGTGCTTTATCGTGCCCATGGCAGACTATCGAGTGATGTATTTTATCTTGCAGTACCAATGATGCTCACCTTTTGACTCAATTAAGTGTGTATGCGAACAGGGATAAATTGGTGATTTAACACCATTCTGGGGTTCCCTGAGCTAACTGCCTTGAAAGCAGTGCATTTGCCAAGTATGGCCAGAGGGAGCCGGAGCGCGATCCTGTGGAAAGGGAACAACTGGCCGTCACTCGGAAGATTGCATCTGCTTGTCTCTTGACAGGAAGTCATCCTCAAAAGGGCCGCGGATCTGGTGGAGGCGCTCTATGGAATGCCACACAACAACCAGGTGAGTGGCCCCGGGGACTCGGACCTGCATGGGCCTCCACGTTCCCGTGGAGGAGCGCAGAGTCCCCAGTGCGTCGAGGAAGGGCGAAGAAGATGAAAGCCACTCACATGAGTTCAAGGTCATCCCGACGTAACGTGTCAGGCAGTCAGTGCTTCTCTCCTGTTTTGTACCTCTTTTACGGCCTTTTCTGTGGAATCATTTTCCTCAGGAGAAAAGGTACTCCATTTAAAGTGAATCTTCCGTGGGAGCGTGCTTCATAATTGAGGAAGAGAGTTACTGATGTTTTATTTTATTCCTTTCAGGTTTTCAAGCAAATTTAGGAGGAAAGGGGAGGGGGGTTAATTTCTTCTCCTAAAACGCATAATAAGACCTGAATATAATTGTCTGCTTCTATTCACGGAGCAAGTCCCCATATAGGATTCACATTGCTCTGGAAACAAGGAGTCTGAGCAATCATTCACTCCTTCTTTTGTGTCCCTTGAATCAGTGTCCAGGGGACAGAGTTCCATGAACAGTCAGGGACAACAAGGAGTCATCTACAACCTGGCCTTAACTTTAGCAGGGAGAGGAGATGCCGCCTCTGCATGTGTGTGTGTGTGGCGGGGGTGGGGGGTTCCTGTGCATTACTGGCCACGAAGGGAAACCCCACGCTGTCTTACGCAGTGAGGCAATGTGGAGGGATGGCTAAGACAGTGGCCCTTCGAAGTCAGGCAAACAAGGTTATGCAGCCCAGCTGTGTCCTTACACAGGCAAGTGTCCTTAAGTGTGAGTGCGTCACGTCTCTCTGTGCCTCAGTTCCCCCATGTGCACTATGGGCTCATCGATGATGACACTTGTCCCAGCTTTGCTCCAGGTTTGCTGAGAGGTGTGGAAGTTAACGCCCTGAGCACCGTGTCTGGCATATAATAAACACTGGAAAGGATGGTTTTCCTGGGAGGATGACTAGGCGTAGCTAAAGGGGATATTCCTTTTACTTTGCAGGAGATTATTCTGAAGAGAGCGGCTGACATCGCGGAGGCCCTGTACAGTGTCCCCCGCAACCACAGCCAGCTCCCGGCCCTCACTAACACCTCGGTCCACGCAGGGATGATGGGCGTCAACTCCTTCAGTGGACAGCTGGCTGTGAACGTCTCTGAGGCATCGCAGGCCACCAACCAGGGTCAGCAACCTGCCCTCCTCCCTCTCCATGGCCCTGCCCCTTCCCAACCTCAGGCTTTGTCATGCTCCCGTCCCGCCCCCAGACCCCACCATTTATTTGGCACAAGACAGTTTTTATTTAAAAACGTTTTCTTTTCCCAAAGGGGGGATTCCTAGTTTGTATCAGACACTGCTGTGGAATCGGGGGGATAGCTGTCACAACCGGCAGTGTGCTCTCAGAGGCTAGGAAGGACGCATGCACTTAGCCTCCTCTCCATTTGACTTTTCACCGTAAACCATGAATGACAGATCGCAAAGAGGGCTGGAATTAAAGTTCTGAGGGGCCAAAGCACATCATCCTCGCCCAGGGAATAAGAACCTGTTAACTCCAGGGTACATCTCTTAGATTGGGATTTATTTCTGCTCCAAAATGATAATTTATAGGCCCTGCATTGCCACTTCTCATGGCCCCGCTAAGTATTTATGATCTCCTAAGAAATGTGTGTTTTGCTCGCTTCCCATTTTAATCACAGAGCTAGCGCCACCAACCCACGCCCATGAATCACCCGGCCCCTTCCCTCTGGGACGCGGCGACGGGGCAAGAACCAGAGAACTTCCTGTCCCCGAGCCCTCCCGGATTGTCACCCTCATGCCCAGCTTTGACCCCACCCCTCAGGTTTCACCCGCAACTCAAGCAGCGTGTCCCCACATGGGTACGTGCCGAGCACCACCCCACAGCAGACCAACTATAACTCCGTCAGCACGAGCATGAACGGATACGGCACGGCCGCCATGTCCAATCTGGGTGGCTCCCCAACTTTCCTCAACGGCTCAGCTGCCAACTCGCCCTATGCCAGTGAGTAGATCTGTGTGTCCTGCATTTCTGTGTGTTTGTGCTCCAAGAACTGGGCATCATGTGGTGTGGCCCACCATGCAGGTCTCCTCAGTCTGAGGACCCCCACCCAGGTGAAGCTAGGAAAGACGCCATTTGTCTCCCACAGCAATCTCTGTCCCCCACCCCCTGCTCACCTTCCTCAACCCAAGGTCTCCCTTGTTGTCAGAACTTGACTAAAACCCAAAGCAGCAGTAGGATGTCATCACCAGAACCCAAGTTTCAAGTTGGAATGGAGATGGGTTTGACCTTAGCTTCTCCCAGTTACCAACTGGCAGCCTTCTGCAAGTTCTCTCCTCTCCAAGCCTCAGTTTGCTCATCTGTATAATGGGAAGGGAACTAACACCCACCCCATACAGTTGTTGTGAGACTTTGAAAAAATAATGCATGGAATGAGCTTGTCCTGATGCCTGATCCACAAGAGACGGAGTCAGGAAATCTAATCATCAGGATGCCGGAAGGAAGGATGGTAAGAGAAGCGGCTAGTGCAGCATCCGCACAAGCTAAGACTTAACATCTCTCCCTTTAGGAAAAGGACTCCTTTGATGTTGTTGTTGTTTTAATGCTTGGAATTTTTTCCCCTTTGTGCCTGATATGTACTAGGAAATAAACAACAGCAACAACAGGAAACAACAACAAAAAAACTTTATTTTTTCCAAAAATCTGGCAAGATGAAAAAAACACATACACAATTTTTAAAAATTTATGTATGTATGTATGTATGTATTTATTTATTTATTTTGGTTGTCTTGTCCTTGCCTTAAAAAAGCTTAGCTTCAAGAATTTTCAGTACGAAGGTTAGGTTGCATCTAAAGGCATCTTTACATATAAAATGTCCCGGGTTTTGTCTCTACAATCTCTCCATTTCCCTCTGAGGATTTGTACATAGATAACCAAGTTTGTCTTAGTGTGGGTAACTCTTCTGTTTTATAAAATGAGGCCGAACTCTTAGACATCTGTGGAATGATAGAAGATGTGTTGTTAAATGAAAGAACGCTCGTGATTTTTTTTTAAAGAAGAGTCTTGGCTAAAAGAACCTAAAAACCGTGCAGTCTCTGATGGTGGAAATGTGGAGTGCTCTAATCTTTTGAAAGAGGAAAGATCATTCTTGGCCTTTGAGAGAGAGGTTATTTCTGAAAGTAACACTTAGGGCCTTTTACTTTCTTGGTGAATTTTTAACGCTCAGTGTGTGCTAAATTTTATATTTCCACTTTATCTGTTCAGAATCAGCAGCTTTTTGAATGTTTAGAATTCCCCCCAAATAATCTGCATACATCACGTCTGCCCGCTGGAACCTGTTTCAGGATTTTGATTCATTGAAAGATTGTTTCTCATAGATCTATCATTTCAGTGTTCTGCCACCTACTCAATCAGAAAATGTTTCCATCATGACCTGAAAATTAAAAGGTGGCATTCTTAATTAAATCAATAAACTAATTGCTATATGGTAGCAATTCAATTTAGGGGCTGGGATTGCTGTCTTTGCAAGCCCGTGCAGACGCCCAGCAACTTCAGCCTGAGATTGCATCTGTCAGACTGTGAAACTTCCAACATTTAATTTCCATTAATTGATTTCCTCAGTGCTCACAAATATAGTATTAAATTCTCAAATAGGCTCTCAGATGGGACGGTTTTATCTGCATAAATGCAAATAAAACAATAAACACAAAGCCCAGCTGATTTGAATTTTTGCCTCCATAATATTTAATTATTCATAAACCACTCATGTTGAAAAATTCCGAACAGAATAAAAAATAAAATAAGACATTGCGCTGGTGAACACACTTTGTGGTGTGGTGGCTGATAACTAATAATGTTATAACAAATGGAGCTGTTTGACTATATTTCACCCTTTCCTCTGCTAACCACCCCCCTCAAACTCCCCACCTCTAAATACACATAATGATCGCATTTGCCAACGAGATTAATTGCCTTCCTCAGTGAACCAGCAGGATTTCAAGTCGACGAATATTTAAAAATCAAACCTCCAGTGCAGGAGTTTTGCAATTTAAATGGGTGTTATTATTGAGCGTATTTTCACATTTACAAATCCTAAGAGATGTATAAAAATGCTGGCCTCATTAAAAGAAAAAGTACCGTGTAGAATATGTTTGTGAAAACTCTGAGGATGGCGGCCTGGGGTTCTGCTCCGTCAAGCATCCAGCGCCTTTGGATTGTGTTAGTGCTGAGCGCTGATTCCACGGGGTCATTTCCCCCTGATGGCAGCTGCCGCCCAGACCCATTCCCTATTTCCCTCTTTCCACAGCCAGGAGGCCAAGGGAAGCCAGCCCCCTCCCCAGCAGTCTAGACCCCGGTGGCTTATGGGAAGGGGGCCTCTTCCCCTGGTAATTGGTTTCTTTTGCAGGGGAGTGTAGTGGAGAAGACACTGGATTTGGTTCTGGTTCCTAGCTTCACCACATTCTGGCTCTGGACCTCGGGCGGGCAGGTCACTGAACTATTTCTGAGTCTCACTTTGCTCAGCTTGCTCAGGTGTAAAAAGGATGTAATAGGTCCCCACTTGAGGTCGCTTTGACAGTGACATAAGATGAAAAAGACATGAAGATTCCTGGGAATGATAAAGCAACATGTAATGTTTATTACATCATGGGAAAAATAATCCAGTGGCAGGAAGGACTTAGAATTTAAATAGAATGCTTGAAAATTTCTGGGCAGGATCCATACGTTTCCCGAGGAAATGGAGGAAATAGAAGGTGAGTGTATGAAAATACTGGTCTTGAGTGGAGAGGACTCACTGTGTGTGAAAGCTCTGTCTCCTGAAGCAACTATGAGATTATTAGCAACTAACAAAATAGGAATGGCCAGGCTGAAGGGACCATGGTCAGTAGAGAATGTGCAGCCACAAAACTCATGTCTCCAAGCAACTAGGTTCTCCCCCTCCATGAATTGCCAAAATTCCCCCATCATTGATAATCCACATCCCCACTACTACTACTCTGTGAGCCTTTACACAAAGCTCCTGTCCTACTGCTCATTAATTCACAAACATTCATGTGCAGCTTCATGCAGGGGATAGAGAGTTTGGACCTTTGGCTTGTAGTTCTGAGTTATCTGCAAATATTGCCTGTGGCAGTCTGTCTATCCACCTGGCCTCCTCCCTACCTAGATCTGTGTATGTGAAGCATTCAGGCACAGTTGTATCCTTCAGGAACTCGTAGCTTCACGGGCAGAACAGGGACACATACACACTGCCATCTGCCAGTGCTTTAAGTTGGAATCCTGGCATTCCCTTCAACCTACCCTTCTTCCTCACACCTCTCATCCCATCACTGACCACACTGTCTCAGGCTGGCCTCCTCCTGTGCCTTATATTCCCAGCATCTTTGCTAGAACCTTAGACCCTTTTAGGTCCCATCTGGAATGCTTCCTTTGACACCTCGCCCATGAAGACTTCCTTGGTCCTCTTCCCTGCCTCTGCAGAGCTGGCCGTGCTCATGTCCTGCTCAATGACAATGCCTTTGTCATTAGTTTGTGCTACCTCATCCCTTAGAAGAGCACTTTTGTTCCATGGCCTGGAGCCCCAGTGCCTTGCACATTGCCCGGCATGTAGAAGACATAGAAGATCCCCACCACCAAAGGTAGCTGGTGCTGAGTACCAGGTGATGAAAGTAGATGAAATTCCAAGAGTTCAGGGAAGGCTCGTGCCGGCAGGGTGGCCCGAGCAGGGTGGCTGGGTGAAGGGCAGAGCTGAGCTGCCTCATCTCAGCACACCAGGAGAGATGCTGATTTCTCCTTTCCCGTTGCCCCACCCAGTCGTGCCATCCAGCCCCACCATGGCCTCCTCCACAAGCCTCCCCTCCAACTGCAGCAGCTCCTCGGGCATCTTCTCCTTCTCACCAGCCAACATGGTCTCTGCGGTGAAGCAGAAGAGTGCTTTTGCGCCAGTCGTCAGACCCCAGACATCCCCGCCTCCCACCTGCACCAGCACCAATGGGAACAGCCTGCAAGGTAAGCCCCACCTAAGCCAATAGGTTGCCCTGACTTCACCCTCCCAGGGCCTGAAGCAGATACGTCACTGGTGCGAGGGATCAGCCTCAGGCTGGCCTGCTTCTTTCTGCCCTCCTTTTGTTTATTCCTCTGTGTTCACTCTCATTGGCCCTGGCCCCTGGCCCCACACACCCCTTCTCTGCTGGAGTTGTCTGAGCTGTCCTCTTCCCAACTCCAGCAATTCTGCTCAGGCCCAGGATTTGCTTAAGAATACTATTTCCACCTACTAATATCATCATTTCTCTTTTCTCCTCTTCCATTCCCTGGGGTCGCCATAATCAGACCAGTCTTTTGTGGACTCTAGCAAGTTCTCCACTGCAGGGTCTCTCCCGGGACTGGCCTTCTCCTGAAGTAGGTCACTCAACCTTCCCTTCCTGTTGCCTGTGTCAGAGTGAACGTGTGTGGGGCTGATTATGGGGAGTGGGTGAGCCATGGCCTGACCAGAACCCTGAGGTTAGAGTGTTGTAGACCAAAGGCCCCAAGACTGACGGCTGGGAACCAGAAACCCCAGATGGTTACTAGAGTATTCTGGTTCATGTTAAAATTGTCCCATTTTGGTCCCCATCATGGAGTATGGAAAATAAGAGTCACCAAGAATTGAGGTGACCTCTCTACTCATTGAGGAAAAAGAACCCCACCCTTTTAAAACAGGGCTACTGCATCTCAAGTTTTTCTCGTGTGCTAGCACTGTTGACCTGCACAAGCTCATTCATCTCTCACAGCAGGACTGTGTGCTCTAGGCTTTCAAAGCCCCTACTTTACAGATGAGAAAACTCAAGGTCAGGGAGGTTATGAAATTGTTTGACTTCCGACAGTACCGTGTGGCCGAAGCTGGCTTCAAACTCAGGCTCAAAACTTCATCTCCTCCTTCCATCTCCCAAGCACTGTATTACTCAGAGGGGGTAAAAAAGATGCACCCAGGATTCCCAAGGCAGCTAGCAGGGAAATAAGATCAATAGAATAATCAGCTACCATTTATTTAGCCCTGAACCGTGTGTTAGGCTCTGTGCTCAGCACTGAGCATGTTTTCTCGTATTTAATCCCCACCACCTCCTGGTGAAATACGAGGACATTATGATCTCCATTGTACAGATGATAATGCTGAAGCTCAAGGAGAGGAAATACCTGCCTATAGGCATTGCCCCTAAATGGGGAAGATGAATGTAAACCCCACAGGGTCTGTGCCCCGAGCCCCTAGCCTACACGGCTCCCCACAGTGCCTTCCCGCAGAGGTCGTCATGCCACCCTCACTGATGGAGGTCAGCCACGGGAGGGGTCAGGAGTCCGGCATACCCACCTGGCATCGCTCAGCCCTGTCTCTTATGTATATGTGTGTCATGTATTGTATGTTATATATGTGTGTTATTTATGTTATTTACACAGAGCACACATGTACTCTGACTGGACGCTTTACTTGCTATAATCTTACATTAATTCTTCCAAAGACCCTATGAAGTCAGTACCATTCCCTTTATAGAGATGGGTAAATTCAGGCCCAGTTTGCTCAGGGTCACACAGCTAGTACTGATAGAGCCAAAATCGAACCCAAACTGCATGATTCCAGAACCTGAGCTCCTAATCACTCTGACTTTCTGACTCCACACAGGTTCAGCTAAACATTCTTCAGAAACCTGCAGGCAAATCTGGCCAGCACAGCCAAAGTCATGCCTGGAATAATATGCTGGTGGCCCTCCCTTGAACAGCATTGGGAAAGCCATCTCAAAGGGCAGAGGAAGATAATCTGAGCTGCATTTCAGGCAACAATCCTCACAAAGGGTCACGCCCACCGCCACACAGGGAAGCCACCCATTCATACACATCTCAGTCATTTTCAGCTGAAAATAATGCTTTGTCACCCTCAGTACACCTCTGGCTGGCCTACTCAGGATATAATGCTTAAGTGAATCTGACTTATAATGGGTTTAAATAAGCATAAAACCTATGGAAACGGAAATCTGCCATTCTTGAGCTGCCTGTCACAACCCTCGTTAAGACACAGATTTCATATCAAAATAAGATAGAAAGGGGTCTGGAATCAGCAGCTGAGAGGTGGGGCTTGAGAAGCAAAGGCCCGCAGCTCTTGGGAGGTCCACAGCTGGATCCCCGGCCTGTGGCGACTTAAGCAGGCAGCCCTTCTGTGAGGCCCCGTGTCTCTGCCTGCATGTGCACCAAGGAGAGAGCAGGAAGGGACTGAAAACAGGGACTCAGCCCAGACAGTAGAATGTCCTGGGTTTAGAGAACATCCGGTGGTGTGTGTGTGTGTGTGTGTGTGTGTATGTGTGTGTGCGCGCACGCGTGCATGAGCGTGTGTGTGCGGGTGCTCTTAAGTAATAATGAAATGGCTTCAAGACAGGGACTCATGCAAAATTTGTTCATTTGTCACCCAGGGCATTTCTAACCCAAGTCTGCACAGGTTCCAAAAGTACAGAGGCTGTTCCCCCATATTCTGCTTAGCAGCCGGATCACCATCTCTCCATCACATCTCTCACACACGGCTGCACAGGTTCCAAAAGTACAGAGGCTGTTCCCTCATATTCTGCTTAGCAGCCGGATCACCATCTCTCCATCACATCTCTCACACATGGCTGCACAGTAGGGAGGGTGCAAGGTGAAATTCAGGGACACGCTTTGTGCTGGATTTGCTGTCGTGGATGACATTGCCCTTACCTTCTGTTTGAGCATGTGTCCAGGAAAGTCTTTCTGCTGGTTTTTGTTTTTCCAGTACCATCATGTACCAAACGGCTATGGAGGGGTGGCAGGGGAGGAGGTGTGAATAGAGAAATTGAAGTCGAATTAACTGACACCATTTTCCTTGAAGCTGTCCTGTCCATCTTCCTGCCACTCTCACCAGGCAGGGCCCACACACCTAGGATTTCCCCGTGGCCCTCTGTACACCATCCCTGCTGCCCGGAGTGCACTATACAATTGCTTCTGGGGGGCTCCTACCTGAGACCTTGGGGTCCCCCTGAAGAAAGGGACATTGGGACAAGGGGCTCCTAGACCTGCAGCTAAAGAATGACCTCATCATTAGTCTTCTACATTCTGCTTGTCCGTGGAGAAAGGACATGGGAGGTTTATAGACTGGTGGGGTGTGAGGGGACCTCCTCCTTCTACGTCTCATTGTTACAGTGGTTTCGTTTGGACCCACCTAGTTCAGAACTGGGACCATTAAGACAGGGCAAGTGACAGAGGAAGAGTTGGTTAAGCAAATGGCTTGTATAAATAAGATCAGAGGTGACGCGTTTAGGCTGTTTGAGGGTTTTAAAGACCTGTGTACCTCCAGCTGCCCTTCTACTGATAGTACATCACTCTGGGTCTTTTTAGCCAGCTCCTTAAAGACCTTTTACCCCAGGAGCCCCATCTTGGCCTCCTCTAGTGATTGCATGTACGTTTATTCCCCAACGAACACCCCATTGCAGTCTCACATGGTGGTGATGACAGTGGTCACAGCTACTCACATAGGAGGGCTTGTTCCCAGCCAGGCTTCTGCATCATCTCATTCCCAACCACCCTTAATGTAGGCTGCTTGCTGTCCCCATTCTATAGATGCAGATACTGAGCCTTCGAGCTAAGGTGGCTCACCCAGGGTTACACAGCTAGCAAACTGGGAGAGCCTGGGGTTAAAACCCGGCGGACTGATACAGTGTAAGCCCCTGTGCTCTATGGTCATACTGTCGTGAAGTCACTGGGTCAGGCCCTGGTGGACTTCAAAATCCTGGCCTTCAAATCTTTGCTGTGTTAAAGGAAACACAGCACCACAGTAAAGCAAACAGATCTGTCTGGGAGAGGCTGGGCACCCACCTGTGGAAGTTCAGAGGAGGGAAAGTTCAGGGAGAACTCAGAACAGCCTTATGGAGAAGGTTGCCATCGAGCTGGACCTCAGATGAAGGGCAAGGGGGATTCAGGCACAGAGAGATGGGGAGAGAGGGCGTTTGAAGCAGAGGATTGAAGATGATGGGAGCCACAGAGTAATGTGCAGTAACCAGCAAGCCATTTGGCATCCTGGGGCATGGAGGCCAAGGAGCGGGGATGAAGTTCAGTGAGGAGGTCCTTATGTGGAAGTCATAAATTCCATTCTTTCCAGGTGTATTATAATTCACAATTTCTCCTGTGGTCCCAATCGGCTTTCTCTCCCAAAACCTTGCACAAATTACCACATGGCTGAGAAATTTTTTTTTATTAAAAGCTCTGAGACAGACATCCTGCAGTTAAACAAAAAAATGAGTATTCCATTGAGTTCTCTTAATTTATTCACCCAGAGAACCCTTTTCTGAATGTTAAGACCAATTAACATCCTATGAAGAACTTTCAAATGGCTGCACAGTAGGGAGGGTGCAAGGTGAAATTCAGGGACACGCTTTGTGCTGGATTTGCTGTCGTGGATGACATTGCCCTTACCTTCTGTTTGAGCATGTGTCCAGGAAAGTCTTTCTGCTGGTTTTTGTTTTTCCAGTACCATCATGTACCAAACGGCTATGGAGGGGTGGCAGGGGAGGAGGTGTGAATAGAGAAATTGAAGTCGAATTAACTGACACCATTTTCCTTGAAGCTGTCCTGTCCATCTTCCTGCCACTCTCACCAGGCAGGGCCCACACACCTAGGATTTCCCCGTGGCCCTCTGTACACCATCCCTGCTGCCCGGAGTGCACTATACAATTGCTTCTGGGGGGCTCCTACCTGAGACCTTGGGGTCCCCCTGAAGAAAGGGACATTGGGACAAGGGGCTCCTAGACCTGCAGCTAAAGAATGACCTCATCATTAGTCTTCTACATTCTGCTTGTCTGTGGAGAAAGGACATGGGAGGTTTATAGACTGGTGGGGTGTGAGGGGACCTCCTCCTTCTACGTCTCATTGTTACAGTGGTTTCGTTTGGACCCACCTAGTTCAGAACTGGGACCATTAAGACAGGGCAAGTGACAGAGGAAGAGTTGGTTAAGCAAATGGCTTGTATAAATAAGATC